CTGATTTACGGAAAGTATTCAAAATGTGTTCAACTTCGTAAACTTCCGCCCTGTCATGTTATTGACCTCAAGTGACTTTTTTAAAAAGTGTAATCACTTTCTTTCGCATCGGTACATGTTATTAAAAAGGTTTTCATATAGATCGACATGTGTTGGCTTTTAACAGATATAAATCGTGGTGTAAATAAATGTAAGAACATGACATTTTCTGATGTATTTAAAATATTTCGTAGTTGCATAGTATGGATACTGTATAATTAAAAGTAAGTAACTGTTGACATTGGTTTCATGTTTAGTACTGAACAAATAAAAGCAAATCACCAGATGTTGTAAATGGTGGCGTCATTAGCTCGAGCCGTAATCCCTTGACGGCACGCGCAGGCACGCAGCGTTAAGTGGGTTAGCATGTCGATCCTGGTCTGTTCAAGGTCGCAGCTATCATTTACTTGCATATTTATATCAATATGATATGTTATTATCATCCTAAGACAATAATTAATATGAATGCGAGAATGTTATTAAACAAATAATTAGAGCCGATGCTGATGTGTCCACAAACAGGTTATGAAAGAAATTAAGTTTGTAATGGTTTCCTTGGTGAATGGAGTAACAAATCATGTTTCAATATTAGCGTCCTTGATATAGTTGGACTCGTTTCACTTCCTGTTACGAGGCGAATAATTGTAAACTCTGAGCACGTCACTCATTCAAACTCAATCAAAGGATATCGTGAATGAGATGTTTACCGCGCTCATTCGTGCTCGTGTGTGCAAGACTTGAAGCATTTCCTGTTTTATAATGGATTATAATATTGTACGTATCATATACCTAATCGAAACATTATCTTGTTTTTCCATTTCAAGCTTTTATATTTTCCTACTTTGCATTTACAATAATTCTTGAATTAAATAACTAACTGATCTACATTGAATTCATTATTCAAGTATTTATGAATGCAACTCAGAAGGAAGCAATATATCACGCGGCGTTAATGGTTTATGTAGTTCTAGATAGCAAGTTTGTGCCCGTAGCTAGCCGCGGCACTGGAGGGCCAAAGGGCCGTCCTGCCAAGGCCAGCGAGTTCGTTAGGACCATTCATGGATGCCTGCGCGCAACCTCCTCCCCACTCTCCCGCGGCGACAGGATATTCTCCCTCGCGGTGTGCTATGCTGGCCGATTGATCGGTTTATTTTTTAAATCAAACTCGGAGCAAAAAGACACCACGCGCAATCGTAATTCACCGGATGCGCTAACGAGTGTAAAATTTTTTAAACTTCACTGTGCAGCATTAGTTTGTTTTTGTTGAAGGCCGTTTCCGCCATGACTTAATCCTTAACTCAACCGGTACATATTATAGTATGCATTAGGTAACTAATAAATAGCGCAGTTGTTTTCAGGGTTCCGAAGCCGAATGACAAAAATTGAACCTTTTTAGATTCCTCAGATCGTCCTTACGTCACAGCTACTTATTCCGAAACAATAAGAATTATAACTGTTGAAAATTGATCTATTCTGTGAACGGCGTTAAAATTTTAACACAACAATAGTTATTAATTTTACTTGTTGCTACGCAACCCTTTATTTGCAAGTCTGACATTTCGATAACGTTTTTCATCTTTTTTCTATAAAGGCTTCTAATGCATAGATTTTACCTTTTCCCGTTTGCGTTAGAGCCCAAAGATATTATCAGTTTTGCTGGCTAATGACAAGATAGACTCAATGTCGCGGATATGTTCTGTGATGATAACAGGCACGCGAACGTCGAATGTTGATGTTTCTCGACATTGAACAGTGTTTTGATATGGGTTGCATTCCAAACACTGTTCTTGGAATGAAATATTAATGAGTTCACAAATAACCTTCGGAAACGTGAAACTTTGCTTAATTTTCGAAAAGGTCTTAGGATAATATCTCCATTCATACGATTATGGTCCGTCGGTGGGTGGAAGTGGGTAATGATTCACTTTGCTTTATGTTTTGGACGAACATGGCGTATTTCGGCTGCGCATTGTGGGCAATTCGTCATGATTTGCGTATGTAAATCAATGGAGTTTGGTTGTGCGGGCGTAACGGTATTTTCGTCGGTCCACAGCAGGAAGGCGGATGCTATAAACACACTTTCAGTGGCGTTACCATAGCGGCAGGCCCATAATGCTTTTGTTTAATAAATTCGTTGATGACATATTGTCGTGCTCTTTTAATTACATCAGACATATTAAGGACGATCGCAAATCACCCAAGACACGTGCCCATACACCGAGTTGACGGATTATCAAGATCCCTCCAGGGAAGTGACAAAATATGCATCAAAAGTTTTATGGAATTTATCGTTATTTATTTGATCAGCGCGAAAGCTCTCCTCTTCTACAGAGCATAGCGTGATGTTATATAACCTAAAGCCTTCCTCAATAAATATAATATAATCTATTAAAAAAAAGAATATTTTTTCAATTCAAACCACTAGTTCCTGAGTTTAGCGTGTCAAACAAACTCTAGCTTTATAATATTATAGTATTGATTGGAAACTGAGACACAAGTGTAGTAAATGATGGTGTTGGCATTTTTTTACTACAGTTTAGGTGTAGAAATTTTTAGTTATTGCGAAAATTTGGTTATGTAATTTTGGCAATTTAAACAAGATTGTTCGTGAAAAGTTTGCATAATTTGTCCTGCGCAAACTAACAACTTCTTCCAATTGGACGACATCAGGCTGAAGAGAGTGAAACTAACAACTTCTTCACCAGTTTTCAGTAGATCGTAAGAAGCTTGTAACTCCTAAAGTTGCGAATATTCATCATTTTTCGAATGCCCTAGACGTTTCTTCTACCATATACTACAGAATGATGACGATGTAAGATCTTACTTTTTAAACCTTCCTTTAACACCCAAAAACAACACAACACCCTTAAACATTTCCAGATCAAAATTAGCTAAAGCAGTCAAGCTTGTCTATTAGTGTAATTTCAGTGCGACTAATGTACAACGATTCATTTTCATTATATAGATGACACCATACTGTATCTAATATGGAGTGGTGAAAGTAACCATATGTGCTATTGCATGTTTTCTACCACTATGAATATAAATTATACGGTGTTCTCCAACGCTGCGCCGATTGTCTGTAACAAATTGATATTTTTTGCAACTACATATCTATCAAAGAAATTATATTTAGGGTCACACGTGATAAAGTTTAATTATAGTAGAGAAATATTATTGGGACATTTATTCAAAATCTTTACTAATGCCGCAGAATTGATAGGCAATAAGCAAACCTTTATACAGTTTTTGCAGATGTGTCCTTTAATTGACATTTACATAAAAAATAAAATAAGCGTATGCAATCAATGACCTTCGAATACAATGTTAAATAGAAGAGTACAAGAATATAAATAATATACTGACAGAATGTAATTCTATGTCTGGTAGTTGAATTCGTACAAAAATTGCCATTCACAAGTGTGTCCCTAGCACGGTTTACGCAAAAACGAGAATTCTATGCGGTATTCCGCGTTTGCATAACAGTTTCTATGATTGTTGACTTCCCGTCTGCTATTATTCTAGTTGCACTCTATTATGCAAGGCTGCGTCACGCGTTACTATCACACATTAAGAACCAGCTCATTTGAACACTAACTATAGGCACTATCTCTGGAGGGAGAAATGTCGTCGCCCCCGACTTGTACCCACGCACGCCTTCGTAGTTCTACCTATATACTTTCCTCCTACCCACGGGTACCTACATACAGAATCTTTAGAAATACTTATTTACTACTTATGCAACGTATTGTCGTCACGAAGGCGTAACATCAATATGATCTCTAATAATCTCTTTACAAGCGAAAATCATAAATTCTGTCACATGTTTGGAACGCTGTCACTCCCACATCAAGGTTGATCAATCAAAAAGGATCGGCTGAATGAGATCAATAAGCATGGTGAGTGTGGTGGGCGAACGGTCGACGAACTGCGCGGGCGCAAGCCGGTGGTGCGCTCTAATTCAATTTAACGACAATCCATTGCGCACTAGGCTAACATTCCGCCTCGATGTCACCCATCCATTAGTGGCATTACTCAACTATTTGTGTACCCGTTGCCTTGGCCCTGGTGATGGTCCCGCGGATTATATTACGGACAGTAATTTCAAATCTCATGTTGAGTAATGATTCGGTATTCTATTGACCATCATTATGATTTAATGCCTAATACTGAATGCTTACTATAATAACGTTGGACATTAAAGCATTCACTGTATGGCGTTTAATGCTAAAGGTTTTATATTTCTTAGGATTTATGGAGACTACATTATTAAATGCTAGCTTTATATTCTAAATTACTGTCAAGATTACTAGGTGTATTGATTTATGTTAATGGGAAATCTGTTTCTGTGTTTTTCTCATGATAATTAGGCGATGATTATTAATTTCTGTGATAATAGTAAATACTTTGATCGAGACCGGATCTGCAAGGATGGGCTGTGTCACCTTGAATGCCGGATGCCGACATTCTGTCGAAGGAGCTATCGACCGTCAATCGTGTGAGCGTCTCGCCATATTATATTATACTATAGTCGTCTGTCTGTTTGTCTGTGCAGCTTCGAGAGCCGTTTTTATTTTACGACCATCCACGTCCGCTGAGCAAGTCCTCCGACAAGGTCGATGTTTCTCGTACTCGTAACCAATCAGCCGGTGCATCAATCGGAAATTCATTAGTTGGAACCAGGTCTTGGTGTTTATAACGCTCGGTATAATATTCGTCGGCAAACATTGTTCATGTGAGATCGATAGGATCAAAAATAATAAAACGCTTGCGAGAATTTCAAGGGAAGAACGTGTCTCGTCTCTGAAGTCTCCAACGGAAATGGATTGAACGTGGGCGACACCTACGGAGTGCGCGAGTGACCACTCGGAGTGGCAGCACCGAGTGACAAATTTAATATCGGAATCTATTTCTGTTACTTCTCATCCCAAATTTTTTCATTAAGTTTCTGTTCGTTCCAGGTAAGCGCTTCGTAATTGGCGTCACGATCCGCTGAAGGTCAAACACCACATCAATCAATTAAATTGGTTTGTAAAGAGTGAATATGTAGTATTAATTCTTATTTACTTGGTATTTATTACAATGTTAAACACGTGTCATATTTATCGATTGAACTCTAATAAGTCAATATCATTGAATACTGAGTGGGGCATATCTTAATCATTCAAAAGGATATTGTGACCCTGCTCTCTCTGATCGTGGAGTGCATCACAATTTGTAACACTACGACTTATTTCCGCTTCCGCTATTGTAACGCTGTCCACTGCAATTTAATAATCTCTTCTGGTGACAAGATGTATTAGAACAGTTTCTCGACGGCTAGAAGTTATCAAAAATAGTAATGTGGACTCTGACTTTACAATTTTAAGGTTGAAACTTGTTTGTGCTTAAAATTGAGTGGTTCCCTTTGATGTAGAGCGGGAATATCGACAAAGACGGATGTCCGGTGCCGGTCAGGATTTGTTTCACATGAACGGTGCTTCTTAGTGGCTCCACAGCAAGATGACGTTAGGGCAGATGATCCCATACTTCATTAATTCCCGTACTTATCACATTATTGGATTTGATAACCGACTTTCATTGATATAGAAGTAACACCGACTCGTTGAAGATTTTATTCAAAGAACAAGGTTGACATTGATTTAAGTTAAATAAGATAAAAAAAATATTAAAACAAAACAAACAAAAAAGTATACTATTAAAAAAAATCTTAATTGAACAGTTTTCCTTAAGAAATCTGGCACGCCCAACTCAAAATATTTTCTCTCAATTTGCGCACAATATTTCTATATCGTAAACATATTTTGTTTGCTAAAGATTCGACATTAATTTATTATGAGCTGTCAAAAAAATATATATCTTTTGAAGTTTTAATCCGACGTTGAAAGGAAAATCATAAAGATTGTTTGCTTAAAAAATTAACATTAGCTAGCTTTGAAAATGGAGGAAAGGGGCTCAATATCCTTCCGGTCCTTTTGATATAGTGGATAAGCAACGTAGGTATGCGCATTTCAAAAGGCCAGTATGTTTGTCCGACGAAGCTTGGGTAAACATCATTCGTTAAATGGTTTGTGATTTCAACCTTTTGTATTTTTACTATACATTTGTTACTTGGGGAACGATTTAATCTCATTATGTATGCACGTCCGGAAGTTAGCCAGCGATGGAATAAAAAAAATAGGAGCAAGTCACAGTAACACTATCCGACAATGTTTAGGTATATCTTTGACACAAGTTTTTTTCCATATGTTTTTTTTTTATATCACTTGAATTGTTTTTCTATGAGTTATTATACAATATAGACTGTTCTACGTAGAAAGCACTTGTACCGTGTTTTTTCCGGGAAACCATAAACGCCACATTCTAACAATGGACCGGAAAATTAAAGGCTATCTATTCTAGGAAAACTATCTATTTGTTTTTCTACTTTAATGTTCTAAGTTAACTTTCCAATAAAACATTATAAGCTTGTCTAATACCTATTTCTTGAAATCGTTTAATTTTTTATTGAAATATCAAATTTCTCAATCGATTCGTGTTAAAGGATTGCACAAATTCTCGATACCCTAAATCCCTATTAGTAAAGTTTAAATGTACCGTTAACATTCAGTATTTGGCGAGTGGTACGCGAACGTTTTGCATACAATGCCCATGTTGGTGCGCTTGCGCAACCAAGCGGTCATCGGGCCGGATGTGACGCTGCGACACAGCCCGTGCCAAATTGTATGTACATGTGTGGACTAGATAGCCTTTCTGTATCCCAGGGCAAATTATCTTCGTCAGCAATAACACAATTGCCTTATACTCAATTTAAGTTTGAAGCTGACTTTGGGATTTTGATTTGGTTATCATTTACATTCATTTTATTTTCTGTTTATCATATTAATGTTGTCAACTAGATAATGCAATCGTGATATATAAAAATAAACATAAAATTGGCGTTTAGCTCATGTGCTATAGATCAAATCTGTGATGTATGTAATAGATGTAGATCACACAGATGTAGTATAATGTGGGTAGGCAATAAAAAAGGTGAATTGTAAATATTTTTGTAATATTGTTTCGTAAAGTTTGTGTGAATATATTTTATTCGGTACCTCCGTTTTGTAGTAGATATTCATTAACAATTAGTCCCGCCTATTATTTTTTCCTTCGGGTAACGATAAACTGCAATTGCATTAAATCACATACCTAACACCTCCTTTTGAGATTGAAATGCTAATTAAGCAAAAGTACCTAATATAAAAATTCTATGTCTCTGTGTGTTTACAATATAGTAACTGTAAACATATAGGTGTAGAACATTATCATTGTGCCCCGCATCGTTAAAATCAGCTAACCTAAAAAATCGCGCAATCATTGGCATCCGCCATTACTGCTACTGTCAGTTAGCAATGTAGTCGTTTTAACAAAAGATTGATAAACAGCAATTATATGCTATTGTATTGTCTGTGAGAACTGAAAACATACGATGGTTTTTGTTCACAGTGAAGAAAAAATCTCGATTAAAAAAATAAGTAACCTCAAAAAGCAGTCGACCAATTATTTTGATAATGTTTACTGTTGGAATTGTTTATTGTGTTGTAAATATTGCTAAAAGAGATATAATTTCAGAGTCCATGCAATTTTAATGAAGATTTTTGCAACTGAAAGTTGAACATGGTAATGAGTTCAATGCTGTATTGTCGACATTATACTCTCTTTACTAAACATCTGTTTATTCTGTGATCTTTAAAATAAATAATGCAAGTACATATTGGTGTGGAGACAGATATTTTTGCTTAAATAGTAGTACAAGTCGTCGCTGGGTTCGTATTTTTTCATAGTTATTTTAAACCTTTGTGGAGGTTTATATTGAAATATTTTCCAATTACAACAGCATTTTATCTACACTCTGTAATTTATATGTATACACTATTTGGATTTACGATTTGCATTATGGGTTCTCACTACAGGCCAACAAAGGAATTAGTTTCACACCGCAAATTTTGCATTGTACTATATGGTTGGCAATTAGACCGAGTAGAAGATGGAAATCGCGAATTTGTGGTTGGACCGTTATTGCTATTTTACAGCCGTGTAGAGTGGAGTTGGCCGTTGAGTGGCTGATATAGAGGAGTCAGAGTGTAGTCCTCTTGAATTGTAGTCGCGGGTGGTCTCTCCCAAGGTCAGCCTTGACCGGCTGCATCAGAACCAGCGCGAACATGCACCGCACGGACAAATGATGTCGGTGCCTGACATCCGGTCACAAGCTATGTAAATTAGTGTGACACTTCGACACATGTACGCACAATTGTCCTTGGTACTGTTTCATTCAAGTACTTTATTATACTTCCAATACATTTATTCGATTTATAAACAGCGATTACCATCCCCGATAAACATATTTCGAATATGCAAAAAATAAGATTTACGATAATTTCGTATTCAAAATGACTGCCTAATTTGTCACTGTTGTTTATAGTTTCCTTTTAATAATTTGTTTAAACGAATTGAATCTTAAATAAAGAAAAAAGATAGATTGATTGTAGTAGTATGCGGAAATTATCCGGACGTCTGGTATCTATGTGGAGCCGGTATTTATTTCTAATAGCGGCTGTCGTCATACTATGTCGTTAATATTATTTTTAATTGGAATAGTTCCGTAATTGCAAATTACAGAAGATTATTCTAAAGGAGTCTGCTGTCATAGAGATCAAATCAACCGCAAGTATGTGAATAGGCCATGTGGTCGGTGGCATAGACGTCCGCACAGGATAAACCTTTTTTAAATACAGCATATAATATGGAATGCAGTATTCAATTCAGCGCAAGGCTTCAAAGTGGGTAACGCATACATACAAATAGTAAACGCACAACACTACAGACTGTAAAATGCTGCATGTATTTGAGATCGATAGTTCAGTCTTGATTAACGCCGGCCGAACGCGCGTCTGTGTTCCTAGTACTTAAATATATTTGTTTGCATCAAAGTAATCTAGAGGTTATTGTAATATGGAGTGCATATAATGGCTCACTTATATATTCTAAACAAAATAGTGTGGTTTCTAAACTTGTTGCCTCTATTCATCGCCTACGCCCTGCTCCCAGCAGAGTGGTATCTGCGCAGTCCGATACGCTGAATGTACAATACGTACATGCGTACTGATAACGAACGTCATCGGTCAATAGCGCACCGGGGGAAGTTATAGTGCACTCTCGCCTTCAACATCATTAAATGTTGTCCACCTTGGATATATTACCTCAATTTAGCAGTCATGGTAAGTGAACTATATAGTACGATGATGCCATTTGTGTAATGTAATAATAATGCACCAAAAAGGTTCTATTTTCGGATTTGCCAGTGTCACATAACGGTCGGTGCTTAACGAACTAAGTGGTCCAGTCAACGTCTTGCAAAATTCTTTTATTGATAGAGCACGTTGACGATCGTGACCTAGGTTGCAGTGTCTTGGTTAAAAGTGATTTTGCTGTTAAATAGCTATTCGTATTCTGATTTTGTTTTTAACAACACTTTTGTGGCAATAGTGAATGAACACTTGTGAGTTTCGAATAATAATATGTTAAAGGATATTTTGGGAATGTGCGTGTTTGATGTGGTTAAATAAACGCATTCATGGTCGTGGCTTTCATATAAAATATTGGTAAATAAACAATAAAACAACATAAAATCAACAAAGTTCATGCAATCACTAATTCTATAATTTACATAAACAATTATGAGGCTTGTCACGACATTATTCCGTGAAAGCCATTCACTGATGTGTGAATAAGTATAATTAAAAGAAAAAAGTGTAGAAAGTTCGAGAAGCTCTCTGACCTAATTAGGGTAAAGCTCTTAACAGTGACAACGGATGGGTTATCGGCTTATGGGCACATTATCTTTGAAAAGGCTTAGAAGTGATTTCGATGCTTATCCGTTAAGTGTATGTCAAACTTTCAAAGCTGAAAGCCCGAGGCTTTCTTTCACCATTCTTCTTACAGCTCGGCATCAAATT